ATTTCTTTGGGTATTTTAGAAACTGATTTATACATACAATATCTCTCTCAAAATGAGACAATCGACACAGTATAAAATTATTGAGTTATGAAAATAGGGGTCAGATGGAGGTGCAACGCTTTAAATTAAACCAGCAAAATATATCTTTCATACTAAATTGACTCTTTTTGTCTTGGAAATGAATGTTTAATCAGTTAAGACGCTGAAGTCAAGGGAGATGCCTTGAGCGTATTTAATTTTGTAAAAGGGGCCTGATTCCAGTACTGTACATGATTCCTCCTGGCAGTCATCCCTTTAAAGGAGAGGCATTGACTCCACACATGCCTGTGGGACTGAGCAGCCAGGCAAGGGACCAAAAGGAATCCATGGCCTCTGGGATCAGAGCATGGGGACTTGGCATTGATGAGATGGCCGTCGAACACTTTGGCCTCACCCATCTCTGCAGGGACAACATCTCTGAGGCATCTTAGTCTGAGTGGACAATGCCTGAGGCACCTGGCATCCAGGCGTCCCCATGCCACCTGTGGCCCTGCATCCTGGCTGTGCGGGACTGGGAGGAAGATGGAGGGGACTGAGCTGAGTGTGAACTCTGGTTTTGCCGCTTCAGGCTAAATGGCCCTAATTCGCTTGCATCACTTCCTGTGTGAACCAATGGTGGCTTCCAAGGGTTACTCTGCCAACCCTGAACTACACTAAGCAGCCCACAAACATTCCCCAAGTTTGTACTGTTAGTTTGCCCATTCTACAGATGGGGCAATGTGGCAACGAGGCTCTGAGGAGACTTGGTGTCTTTGGACTCCTAAGAAATTTTGTGTTCCTTCTATCATATTCCTCCTGACAAAGGACAGTGCCCCAGTTAGGAAGCGATCACCCCACACCTGAGCCAGGGTCTCTTCTGGGCACTCAGACCACCATGCACTGACCTTAGTGGAGCACTTATGGCATTTTTAGAAATAGATGTATTAGTCTGCTTTGCATTGCTGACACAGGCTACTTATGCAGTAGAGAGAGGTTAATTTTAAGCTTAGTTGTTCTGCAGATTCAAATCTAAGATGGATTTGAGCTTCTGGTGAGGGCAGCACATCACGAAGGAAGAATGAGTGAGAGCAAAATTCACACCCGGAGCCAGAGAGTGAGAGAAGAGACCTGGGTCCCACAATCCCTTTTGGAGGGCATGCCCCCAAGGACCGAAGGGCTTTCCATTAGAAGGACAACTTAAAGGTCCACAGTACCTCCCAATACTGCCACCCTGGGGATCAAGCTTTCCATAGGAATTTTAGGAACACTGCCTGTATCCAAAGCATAACACAGGTGCTTCACCTTCTCTCCATCTGCACTGGGAGTTCCTCAAGGAATCCTATAAATGCCACGCCTGGAGCATCCTCATACCTCGTGCTACTCAATAAAGGCAGATGAAGAGGGTGGTACGTGGGAAAATGCCCCATCCCCACTGAATGTATCAGGCCCTAATCCTTGTAGCCTGTGTGTAACAACAACAACAACAACAAAAAAAGAGGGGGTGTCTTTGGAGACTCAGTTAAGGATCATGAGATGGTAAGATTATTATCCTGATTAGCCCGAAATGCCACCTCAAGTGTCCTCTTAAGAGGGACAGGGAGCCTTCCTCTGATAGAAAGTGACGTGAAGACAAGATAGAAATTAGAGTGACACAGCCACAAGCCAGGGAAGGCCAGCAGCCCCTGGGAGCTAGCGGAGTCAAGGACAGACTACTCCAGAGCCTCTGGAAGAAGCATGGCCTCCCAGCACCTTGATTTTGGGAAAGCGAGACACTGATGTTGGGCCTTCAGAGCTGTGAGGGAATAGCTTTCTGTTGCTTTCAGCCACAGGGCTGTAGTAATCTTTTACAGCAGCCTCAGGAAACTTAAATACTCTCCTGCCTCCAGGAGCCTCCATCCCCTGGATCCTATGCTGATAACTCCCTGCTCCTTCACCTGGTGGGAGCGTCAGGTGAGAAAACATCGGCAAAGCCCTCAGCATGGTCCTTGACTCGTAGCAGATGTTAAAACAAATCCCAGCATCACACACACAGCAGACACCCACACACCCACAAACACTGGCCTCCCCCTGCAGGACCCTGTCCTTAAAGGCTCCTTATCTCTTCACCAGGCAGTCCTAATGTGCATACATCTTCTTACCTGGTTTTCCAGGTCGGTGCAGGCCTCTACTCTGGGAAACAGAGCTTGGCTTATCTTTCATTACATAGCAAGTGAACAGAAATTCAGTGAGCCCTTGCAAAGTCAGACTTATGGGAAAATTAAGGCTATCTGAACTTAAGAAACGCTGTAGACCTGAGCTAGATTTAAAGAAATCTGGAAACCAACTGCTACCAAGAACCTGTTTGCACAGAGCCCAAAGTAAGCACTTCTCAGAGGAAGGGTCATCTCTGATCAATAGATACCACAGTGTGTGTGGTTATCAGAGGTACCATCACCTGGGAGGAGCTGCCATCTGTCCCTTTGGGTAAGTGAGACCAGAGGGAAACACTGCCATTTGGTTATAGTGAGAATTCACTTTTATTACTACTAATAAGGATAGCAAATATTCCCTGCTTGTTTACTTTTCCCAACACTTGCTGAGACTCTATATGCATTATCTCAGACACATTTTGCCATGATCTGGAGAAGACTCTATTATGATTCTCAGACAAGGAAACTGAGGCTCCAGAGGTAGAGCCAGGTTCTAACTTGGGTCACTGGGAGCCCCTACCCCACACTGTCTCCAATAGCCTAAAGAAGCCACTATACCTCCCTACCCTCCACACCACAGACCTCACAGCATGCCACCAAGGTCTCCGACACCTGTCCTGCCCTTGCTTGTGCTACTGTAAATCCCAACCAGAGGCAGTCTGGAGCACTGAGAAATTAAGGCTATATGACGGCAGAGTCAGGGTCGGCAGGTGTCTTAGAAAAAGTAGCAGAGGACCTGCATTATTGGTGGCACCAAAAGGAAAGGATTCCTCCAGAATAGAGTGTTGGCTGGGCGTTGGTGGCTCATGCCTGCAATTCTAGCTACTTGAAAGACTGAGATGGGAAGGATTGCGTTTCCAGGCCAGCTTAGACAAAAAATATTTGTCTCATCTCAACAGAAAAAAGCTGACATGGTGGCGCATGCCTGTCAGCCCTGTGATGCAGGATGCTTAAAGGAAAAGATCATGGTCCAGGCCAGCCTAGCCAAAAAGAGACCCTATCTCCAAAATAACCAGAGCAAAAAGGTATGGATCAAGTGGTAGAGTGCCTGCCTAGCAAGCATGAATTCCTGAGTTCAAACCTCAGCACTGATTAAAAAAACAGAACTGGAGTACCAATTTCCATTGAGCTCCTGAGTGGGAACTGAACTCTTTGAAGTATGGACTCTGAGTAGCTATGCTTCCTCTCTCCCTCCCTTCTCTCCTTTGTTTCTTACCTAGTTTCAAACCAAAACAAAAATGTGAGTGATATACGAAAATACACAAAGTAACCAGGGTTTTTAAGCAAGGAAACCTGTTGGTAGTAAGAGTAAATAATAAATAAATACTAAGAGAATTAGAATATTAGAGCATGCCTGCAGGTCTCAGGCATCTGCTAGCATTGGGCCACAAATTGGGCTGCGGCTTCTGAGCAGCCATGGCCATGGTAAACACAATTCACCCAATACCAAGTAGCTCTGATAGGAAAGTCAAGTAAGAGGTCTTCTCCTCCCCTGCCCTAAGTGTGTTCATGACCCAACCTGGACATTGTGGTTAGTCCACTATGATCACTACCAGGGATGTCCCTCCCTAGAAGACCCAACAGCCACCCTCGAGGGACATCAAGGAGTATGTCGATTGCCAGTAGCAGAAATGGGGATAGCATGGGATCCTAATGACACTACTGCAGTTCCAAGATTGAACCTCTGTCCACCTTTGGATATTTCAGTCCTTTTTGCTTAAGTCAGTGTGAGTTAGGGTCCTGTCACTTAAAAATGAATATAAGAGTCATGACTAGTATATAATATTATCTGTGAAGGGAAGAAAGCAAAAGGAAACACAAATTACAGTTGCTCAGGAAAAGAACTAGCATTTCCCTTAAGAAGCTTTATTGTACTAAAAAAAAGGCCTACTGACTTTCTATAGGTCTTGAAGGTTCAACTCAGCCACTCATGTTAAGGAAACAATCTCTTTAGCATGGGTTTCAGGACCCTGATGACCAAGGCTCTGCTAAATTCTTTTACCTCCTCTTCTCCCTTTCTTGGTTTTAGGCCCTTCCTTGCTTTCCAGTCCAAAGAAAGAAGGGATCGCATGCCATTCCCCAGCCAGGAAGATCGGTCCCTGCCCTTTTCTGCTGGATAAACTTCTACCTATCCCATGAACTTCAACTCAGTAATCACCACCTTCCCTCGCCACTTAGGCAAGACACAATTTTTAAAAGCTACGATTTCACTTATATGGTATGTCCAAAATAGGCAAATAGATAGAGGCAGGAAGTAATTAGGGTTGCTTGGTACTGGGGATTATAGGCAATGGGTTGGGAGTGATGATGAAAGTATGGGTTTCTTTTGGGGTGATGAAAATGTTTTAGGGCCAGCTGAGTGGCTCAAGTGGTAGAGTTCCTATATAGCAAGTGTGAGGCCCTGAGTTCAAACCCCAGTACTGTAAAAAAAAAAATGTTCTAAAACCCATTATATAGATGGGTACATGACTCCATAAGCATATGAAAAGCTACCAGGCTATATACTTTACATGGGTGATATTCTATGGCATGTGAATTATATTTCAATAAAGCTGTTAAATATAAAAACAAGATTATACTATTAGCAAATAACAAAACAAAAAATCCTAAGATGTCATAAACAGAGCTGCAAAAGTGACTATCAGTTTCCCTCTATGCCACCCCTGTTTTCTGCAGACTCCCATGCAAACAACGGAACCCCAGACCCTGCACAGGGTCAGCAACCCTTGTCACAGCACTGACATTCTGCTTCCCTCAACCCTGCTCCTGCTGTGGCAAAAGACAGGGACTCACCGTGGGCAGCTGGCCTGACAGCAGGTGGCTCTCCTGGGCCAGCATATTGGACACCATAATGGCTGGGAGGTCCATGGCCTGGTAGGAGTAGGCAGGGAGCAGACCGTTGGGCGCCAGGCCGTGGCACAGCGAGTGGTAACCAGCTTCGTGGTCTCCCAGATGCAGGAGGGATGGCTCAGGGAGGTTGGGAGGTGTTATCGGGGGGATTTCATAGTCTTCGTTGCTCTCGCTCTGGCTGTTATAGGTCTAAAACATCAAAAAGACATGTGGTTGGGGTCAGTGTCTTAAACTGCAGAACACACTCAACAGCACCCATCACAGCAGTGATGGTAACAATAGCATGCTCTTGGCAAGGGGAAGGGGTGATTCCTCTTCAGGCGGAGGGTCTAGGGGCTTCTGCCTCACCCCTAAGAGGACCCCCTTCCTCCTAGAGGCTTTGGAAGCAAAAGCCTGTCCTCCTGGTGGGACTGACCCCTGTTCACCCAACCTTCTGTTTTTCTACCAGATCTGACTGCCACAGCCACCTGGGGTCCATTATCCCATAGTCACCTACTTTATAGATGGGGAAAGGAGAAAAATGGGCCACCCAAAGTTAGTAGAAGAGCTGGAATGGAGCTATTGTACCCGGACTTCCTAGTGCAGCTGGACAATTTTCTCTTAAGCATTCTCAAGTGTTGACCCATCTGGCACCTGTCTTAGTCTTTCTCATCTTGGTAAATGGCACAAAAATTCTCACAGAAGCACAAGCTATAAACTGGAGGTCATTCTGGATGCCTTTCTTCTAGTGCTTGTTGGTTTAGCATTTTCTGACCCACTGAACGGACCAGGAGCTTCCAGGACAATGCTGAACAGAAACGTGAGAGGAGATACCCGCACCTTTTCCTTTACCATTGCTCTCGCTCTGGCTGTTACAGGTCTCAAACATAAAAGGACATGTAGTTAGGGTCAGTGTCTCACTTGACAGCATCAGCAACAGCAGCAATGGTAGCAATGGTATTTACCGTAAAGCATGATGGGCACAGACTTCGTGCCTTGACTTTGTGCCATGTCCTTCCGGGTATTCTTTAGCAGGTGGAAAGAATTCCTCATTTGTCAAAGGGGGGGGATAGGCTTTTTTAAAATTGTGCATGGATTTTTAACTTTATCAAATTCTTTTCTTCTGCATCCACTGAGAGGTTTAAAGGACCCTTCTTTAATTCAGCTAATATGGTAAAAATTTCTGGTCTCAGCCATGATGTAGTATGCTCTTTTCAGACTTTGTTGGATTTTGGTGATGTTTTGTTTAGAATTTTTACATCATGTTCCCAAGTGGTATTGGTCCTCAATTTGCTCATTCTCCTATGACCCATGTTGGGTTTTAGTATTATGTGTTAGCCTGGGAAGTTACTCTTCCTTTTTTATATTCTGGAGATTAGTCCCCACAGAAGAGAATGTATGGATTGTAAGATGGATCTGAAGGAATTATCTGGGAATTCAGTGTAGACAGATAAGAGTGGTTGTGAGCCTGAAGAACAGGTAAGTGTGACTCATGGACACCTGCTCAGTCAGTTAAGGTTGAGATGAAGAAAGAGTGAGTGAGAGAATGCCCGGAGGACTTACTGACGAGATAATAGTTGAGAATATTGCGGAACTAAGAAGAACAGCAATGGTATCGGTGAATATGAAGGTAAACCTTAATGAGAACACATGTACAGAGAAGATAAAAATGAAACCACAATAACATTTTGTATTGTTTAATTAAGTATAAATGCTAAAATAGCTAGGTCACTGCAGTCTAGCATGGTACCTGGTTCTTGGGCAGGTAACCTCACTGAGTGGGTTGCTGGAGGGAGCCATGTGTGTGGAGTAGAGTTATGACGAGAGCAGGGAACACATGGAACCTAGATGTCTACTCTGTGTTTAGGCCCTTCTCAGGTACCATATGTGAATCTCATAAGCACTCCATGAGGAAGAGCCCTAGACAGCCACGGAACCGGGCTCTGAGAGAGCCAAGGCCTGGCCACACTGGTGCCCACCCAGGTCCATGTCACCTCCTGCTCACAGGCCCCCTCCGTGGGGCTGTCATGGAATTATCTCATAGACAGGCAACTGACCAGGGAAGAGGTGACCATCTCATGTTCTCGTTTTATCTTCTCTCTGTTCTCATGTTGGATTCTCAGGCTCAGTTCCTCTCTTCCTGCCCTAGGCTCTCTTCCCAGGTGATCTCAACCAGTCTGTTTCAAGTCCCTCCAGTCTTGGTCACTAACATGTACTCAGTGTTCCCATTGGATGATCAGGGTTCCACTTCCCTTACCCTGCACCTATGTCCTTCCAGTGCAGTAAATGACACCATCCTCTGCCCAGTTCATAAAACTTAGTCACCTGTTAAAGCCAGTGGATGGCCTCCAAAATGCCTTTGAACTCTGCCCATTTCCACCGCCACCGTCTTAGCCCAGGCCACCACCATCTCCCACCTGGACAAGGACAACACACTGCTATCCTGAAGTCCTTCCATTCCCATCTGCCCATTGACCATGTCATGCCCACTGGCCACGTCAGCGTCATAACATGACACTGACGGCTCCCACTGCCTTTAGGTTCAAGTCCCTAGTGTCAAGCATGGCCCTTGGGTCCCTTTAGCCATAGTGACCATCCCTGCCTCTAGGCCTCACACATCCTGAGTTCTCTCTGCTGCACTGCTCTGCCTACCAGACCCTCTCCCTTCATCTGCCTATTGGTACTCATCCTCACCAACAGGTTGGTTCATCTGTCTTCCCTGATAGTCTAGAGTAGGTCAGACCCCAATGAATACCCCAAGATTGCCCAGCTTTTCTCCTTGAGAGCGCTCATTGAACTTGAGTTGACTTCAGGTGTATTTATTTAGTGTTTAATGTTAAGCGCTGGTTGACAATCCCCGATGCTTAGGTCAGAATCATGCACAATATCAAGGCACAAAGTATGAGCTCAAGAACAATTCACTGAGAGAGAGAGAGAGAGAGAGAGAGAGACACCTAGGGAAGATGCTATAAACACCCATCTCACTCATCCTTTGAGACTGTCCTGGAGGTGAGTACTACTGCCCCTGTTATGCAGGAGGCTGGAAAGTTGTAGTAATTAAAAGCCAGATAATTGTGGCTCATGCCTGTGATCCCAGCACTAAGGAGAATGAGGCAGGAGGTTGGCAAGTTCAAGGCTCACTACATAGTGAGACCCCCCATCTCAAAAAAACAAAACAAAAGCCAGGCAGCTTGAGTTTGAATCCTGGCTCTGCTACTTACTACTTGTGTGTGGCTTTGGGCCCATTACTTATTCTCTTCATGCCTCAGTTTCCTCATCTGTGAAAAAGAAGGTAATGACAATATCTACAGGGCCGTTGTGAAGAGGCAATGAAAGAATGTGTGCAAATAGCTCAGGACCATGCCTGGCACACAGTCAGCCTTCTCAATATTGGTTATTATTGCCATCCTTGTCATCCTTACCTAGAGTCCCAAAGACATTGAGGGACTTCCCCAGAGACCAGACAAATAAAGAGCAGTTCACTGGCTCAGCATCTTTATTTGTGAATGTTCCTAACTCGCACACCACAGGTCTGTGCAATGTGGAATGATGTTGATCTTCAGCCTCACCATGGAGATGGGATGGGGGCTGAGTGCCTTTAGGTAGGATCAGCCCTGGGTACTGCATCACCTCAGAAAGCAGTCCACATGCCAGCCCCCCTCTTATCCAGAGTCACCTCCTCCAGGAAGCCTTCCCATCCCCTGCCCATCCTATGGCAAGATTCCTGTCCTCCCCCTCCCCCTCTGCAGGCACTTTGACACCTTCCCTAGAGCATTCATTACCACCTGCAATCATTTTTGACTCTTTACCTTCTGTTGTGTCTCCCTCTCCCAGACTTCAGGCTCCATGAGGGTGGGTGTTACATCTGTCTTGTCCCCAGTGCATAGCACTGGGCCTGGCACACAGCAAGTACTCAATTACAATGCAGTGAGTGAGCCCACAAATGGGGACATCCCCCCCAGGTGTGTCTACAGCTGTCCTTCCCAGCAGGCTCTAAGTCTCTCAGTTACCTATTGTTGTCTGTTGACTGCTACCTCCCTCCCTGTCCCCCAGCCATCTAGACCAAGTGCTAGCATATGGCAGGTGCCCAATGAATGACAAGTGGCTTCACAAGTCCATTTTTTTCCCCATCAAAAACCAAACTTCAACCCGCTGGAACCAACCCAATCAACCAGAAGCCTTTGGGAAAATAGGCATATGCTGTATGACAATATTGAAATAACACAAGGATGACAATTCACTTGCAGAGCAATTAGCACACTTGAAAATAAACATGCTAACACAGGCAGGCCTCTTCTGAGTACAGCCAAACCCTGAACACCTGGGCTCAAGCCAGCCTGTCCTGCGACTGCTTTACCCACAGTTCCAACCGCGTGCCAGCGTGGCACGAGCATTTCCCATCCACTCTGCATGGAATCGTGTCTGTTCTTCAGGAAGCGCTCTGATCTCCACTTCACACACCAGGAGGTGGAGCTGGGAGCGGAGGTGCTGCCCAGTTAGAAGATTCACACCCAGGATTTGTGCATCTGCGTTGGCACTTTCCCATGCTGGGTCAGATGCCTCTTCCACATTCCTGCTTCAGACTTCCCCTGGAGCAACAGATCGGCTGCTCAGCATGCCTAATTTGCTCTCTACCACCTCTGTCCTCATGAAAATATAGAAGAGGTGCCCAAGCTGCAGGCTTGTGGGAGCCGTGGTGAGTGCAGGACAGTGTCTGTCACGTTTTCCGTGCTCTGGTGCTAGGAAGGGTACCAGGCTTTCTCTTGGGTCTGAGCAGGGCTAACGTCCCCTGGGACTCCTGGGGGAAGGGATCTTAAAACACTGAGGGCAGTGACTGGGGTGAAGGGAGGATATGGGGTAGGCAAGGCTCTGAGTTCTCCAAGAGGTGATGAGGAAGGATTTGAAGAAAACCCCACATTTCAGAGCTTCCGCAGCCACTGTAGTACCTAAGCTCTACCAAGCTGTCAGAATAAACTCAGACCCTTAGCACAGGAAGATGACATGACAAATTAATCTAGAATTCAAACACAAAAAGTTAAAAAAAAAAAAGGCATGCTTTTAAATAATCCTATCTGGAAAGATACTCAATGCTAGAGCCTAGAAATGGAAAAAGTGAACCCGAGAGAGGTTCTAGAAAGAGCAGCAAGCCAAAACAAACAAACAAACAAAAAAACTGATGACTTATATTAATCCAAAATTGTCACTGATTA